CCAGGACTCTGGGATCATGACCTGAGCCGAAGGCAGTCGCTTAACCAACTGAGCCACCCAGGCGCCCAAATTTGCCAAATTTCTAAATCTACCAAGTATACCACTTATGATTTCTTCTCCTTGTTTCAAAGTTTAGAAATGTGGAAAATTCAAGCTTTTGATAGACAGAGTTGCATAGAGATAGAATAAAATGACAGTCGAGAAAGCTGGAATTTAAAAATTTAAAAACTTCAATGGAATGTCACCCATTACTATGAGATGCAGTATCTCCATACCTATATACAGAGATGGTGGTTGACAGAAAATGTACCAAAAAAAAAGGTAGCGAGTTCTACTATCAACAATCTGACAGGTTGGTGGCATAAAAGAGTGATGAACCAATTGTCAGGGGATTCAGAGTATGTAAACACAGAAGCCTTGAGTTCCCAAAATGTGTAAAAGCAAGGCAAGCTAAGTCTACAGGGCAAAGAAAATGACAGACTTCTTAAAAGGATGTGTTTCAGAGAATACTGAAGTCTAGATAACCAAGCTCACACGTGTCAATGCACATACAACACCTCCCAACATGTAACAGATAACTGCTTGATTCAAACACAAATGCAACGAACACAAGTCAGATTACTTTACTCTCCCAAAAACCAAGTTGTGTCCCCACTGAGAATGCATGCTATAGAATAAAGCCAACAACAGAAAGGAAAATATCAAGGAAAATGTAGGTGGGCCTCATACTTTACCCTGTCAAAATTCATTGTTAGGGACAAAAAAATTTATCAAAAGGTGAAATGGCACTAATATCTAGTGTCTTGGTTTGTCTTAGTTCTTTGGACTTCTATAACAAAAATACCATTGGGTAGCTTAAACAGAAATTTCTCACAGTTCTGGAGGCTACAAGTCCAGATCTTAGTGTCAGCATGGTAGGGTGTTTGTGAAGGCCCTCTTTCTGGTTTGCAGATGGCTGCTCTCTAGCTGTGTCCTCATATAAAAGAGAGAGAGCTCTCTGGGCTCCTCATCCCCTCAGAAGGGTGCCAATTTCATCATGTGGGCTTCACTCTCATGATCTTATCTAAACCCAATTACCTCCCAAAGGTCTCACCTCTGAATACTATCACAATGAGAAATTAAAGCCTAACATGAATTTTGGGAGGACACATTCAGTCCAAAGCTTTCACTATCAATCAAAATAACCTTATAGGAACAAGAGACATAAATCCACAGAGAAAAATAAACAAAAATTTCCAACAATATTTATTATTATATTTATTTATGAGAGACAGAGAGCACGTGCGTAGAAGTGGAAAGAGGGGCAGAGAGAGGGGGAGAGGGACAAGCAGACTCCCAATGAGCAGGGAGCCTGACGCTGGCTCCATCCCAGAACCATGAGATCATAACCTGAGTCAAAGTCAGACGCTTAACCAGCTGAGCTACCCAGACGCCTCTTGACAAGATTTAAAAGTGGAATGTGGTAATTGAGTTAGCAGGCTTGAGAAAGCTAAAAATTAAACATCTACAAGAAAAAAGAAATCAAGCCAATTTGTACGCAATGATGGAAAAGCAAGGGAACTGGAGGCATCAGGTAGCCATAAAGGTAAAGGTAAGGGTGTAGCTGAAAACAAAATTGATCAAGAGTCATTAAAAGATGCAACTGAATCCCTGTAATCCCAAGCATTGGTGACTACTCACCTACTGCTCTACCAGTGTGCAATATCAGAGGCCCCACCCTTACCTCTCAGAGAGATGATATCAGACAGATTTAAGAAGGACAGTCCTACACAGCAGTGGGTGTGGGGAAAGGAAAAACAAAAAAAAGGCAGATACGGAAATACTCATATTAAGGAAGTATTCATATTCATTTCTTTCCCCTATTTGACTCCCAGAGAGCCAGCACCCACACTTGTTCCTTTGCTCCCATTCCGCCTGCACGAAGATTCTTCTATGAGAAAATTAAGTAGTCCAAGAAAAAAGTGTATAGTAATGATATTTAAGGGTTTTATACCCAGGCACTTAATCAGTATGACAATTCTAAACCATGAAGATAAATAAAAATTTACATTTCAAATCTGGTAGATATGTGTAACCAAAATGAGAGAGTAACCACGAGAATTAAGAAGCATTTGAGATCCAGGAAAAGAAGCAGAAAGGGACTTCCCAGGAAGACAACAAGGAAAATGCCAGAACCAGAGTTATGGAGAAGACGCAAAAGCCAACATTAGAAAAGTATGACAGGGTGCTTTAGAAAAGATTTCTCTGGTGGAGGCAAGAGTAGAATGAAAAGACTATCTAAAAGGTTAAATTCAGCGGACAGAATGTAAGATGACTTAGAAATTCAAAGAAAGTCAACCAAAATTTTAACGAACTTTTATCATTAATATATAGTAAACTTTATCCATTTTAATCACTGCCACAATCAAGATGGAAAGGTTTTCATTTACATGAGCCCTTGTGAAGATTCCTCATCCTCTCTATGTAAAATCCCTCCCTCTGACAACACCTTCCAGAAACCAGGGATCTGCTTTCATCTGCTATTTATTAGTTTGCATTTTTAAATGAATTTATGTAAATGAAATCAGTTTGTACTCTTGTGCTTCAGTGGTTTTACTTAGTCTATTTTGATATTACATATATATATCCATTTTGTTATGTCTTACCAGTAACTGATTCTTTTTATTGCTGAGTAGAATTATAATAAACATAGCATATTTTGCTTATTCACCTGTTGATGAAAAATTTTTTTCCACTTTTTTGTTATTTTGAAAACATTTGTTGTGAAAATTCATATCTTTGTATGAATATATATTTTCACTTCTGACCTAGGAGTAGAATGCCTAACTCATAAAGTAGGTATACATTTAAGGAACTGCCAAAAATAGTAGTAAATTCTCACCAGCAGTCTATCAAAATCCAGTTACTCCACATCCTTGTTTGGGATTACTTTTGGACTCTATTCTGTTCCATCTGATCTAAATGTCTATTCTTGAGGCACCTGGTTGGCTCAGTCAGGAGAGCATGCAACTCTTGATCTGCGGGTTGTAAGTTCAAGTCCCACGTTGGGTATAGAGATTACTTAAAAATAAAAGCTTTTTAAAAAAATGTGTATTCTTACTCCAAAAATGCTAAATTATTGCTGCCTAATAGTCAGTCCTGAAATCATGTAGTGTTAAATCCTCAAACTTTACTCCCCTTTAAAAAACTGCTTTGGCTAATCTAGGTAGTTTGCATTTACATATATATTTCCAGACACATTTAGTGCCAGGTTGTGAATAATAATTCGATAGGTTTTCTACAGGGTAATACGGGACGGTGTGATCTCTTAACAATATTGACCCTTCCAATCCATGGACATTTCTCCAGTTATTCATGTCTTCTTTATCTCTGCAATCTCATTTAGCCTTACTGTACAGGTACAATGCACGATGACAGACTGATTCCTGAGTATTGTTGTTTTTTATGTTACTGTACATGAAATTGTTTTTAAAATTTCACTGTTTATAGTATATAATACATCTCATAATTGTATATTAACCTTATATTCCATGACTGTGCAAAATTCACTTACTACTTCCACCAGCTGTTTAAATAATACACCTAAGGAATCTATAAAACATTGATGCCATCTGCAAATAGTTTTCCTTCTACCTTTCTGATCTTTATGCCTTTTTATATCTTTTTTCTTGCCATATTGAAATGACTAGGATGTTCGAAACAAGGTTAACATTTAAGTGGTAAAGGGAGACATCCTTGCCCTGACATTAATCTTAGGCGGTAAGCATAAAATATTTCACTATTAAGTATGATGTTAAATTATGTGTTTTTGTAGATGCCCTCCATTAGGCTGATTTTCTTTTCTACTTCTAGTTCTCTAAGAATTTTTTTTCAGTTTAAATGAATGTTCGATTTTGTCAAGATTCTTTTTTTTTCCTCTGCATCTACTGAAATTTGTTATGAATTTTTGTCTTTAGTTTGTTAAAATGGCAAATTACAATGACTGATTTACAACATTAAATTAACCTTGAATTCCTGAGATAAAGTCCGTTTGGTCATGACATATAATCCCCCCTCCTTTCTTTTTGTCCCAAGGGGATGCACCATTCCTGGAGATACTACAATACAAGGTCGATGCATGAAGTGGAGATGGAGCAAGCTCCTATTCCATCTCTCTGTTCCCAAAATCCATTTACTATATTGTCCTTGGATAGAGTATATATCAGATATTAAAATGATAAGAATAGATACTACACATTATCATAGCCAAAAAGCTGAGAAGTAATACATAAACCTTTTTGTATACTATTGATTTGCTAATATTTTGTAAAGGAATATGGTATTTATGTCCACCATAGAGCTGTAATTAATTTTCTTGTGATGTCTTTGTTAGGTTTAGGTTTCACAGTTATGCTGGCAACATAACAAGTGTTGGAAAGACTTTGCATGATATTGGGACTATTTCTTTGAATGTATTAAAGTACACACCAGTGAAGTCATGTGGGCATGTTTTCTTGGTGGAGGAGTTATTAGCAACTTCAGTTTTTTTAGACCTTGGCTTATGCAGATTTTCTGTATCTTAAAAGTATTAAAAGAAAAAAAATAATCCTATAATTACCGATACATATTCACTTTTTCTGATACTCTTCATTAGTTCCTAAAGATCTGTTTGCCTCTGGGGGTTATTTCCCTTCAGCGTGCAAAAGTTCTGTTAGCATTTCTTAATGACATATTGGTCTGCCCACAAGTGCTCTTTAGTTTTCCTTTATCTAAACGTATCTTTATTTAACTTCATTTTTGAAGAATATCTTCACTGAATACAGAATTCTGGAATGATAATTTTTTTTATTTCGTTCCATTATAAGATGTCTTCTGGCCTCCATGATCTTACCAGAAGTGTACAGTACTTTGAATCTCCCCATTTATGTGTCATTTTCTCTAGCAATGTACAAGATTTTTTATCTTTGGTTTTCAGCAGTTTGACTATGTGTTAAGTTTCTATTTGTCTTGTTGTTTGTTGAGCTTCTTGAATCTGTAAATTTACATTTTTCACCAGATTTTGAAAGTTTTACTATAATTTCTTCAAATATTTTTTCACTTTCTTTTCTTTCAAGACTCCTAAAAACCCATTTAATTCTGCTCATTTAAAACAAAAACAAAAAAACCCTCCAAATTGGGTTAAGAATGACTTCTTTTGATCTGTATTCAAAATCCTGATTATTTTCTCTGTCATCTTTATCTACTATAAGTCCCAGAGAATGAATGGTTTTTATTTCGGATATCATTCTTTGCATTTCTAAAATTCCCATTGGTTCTTTTTATATATTTTTTCTTTGCTGAAATGGCCTACCTTTTCATTCATTACAAGACTATTTTCTTTTACCTCACATAATTATAAAACCTAATTTAAAATCCTTGTCAGATTATTCTAACATCTTGTTCATCTTGAATTTGGCATTTATGTCTTTTCCCTTGAGAATGTGTTATTTCCTGGCTCTTTGTATGTTCAGTAATTCTGAGTTGACCCTGAATATTGTGAATGTTAGGTTGTGAACTCTGGATTCTGTTATATTGTTCTGAAAAATACTGTTTTTGTTTCAGCAGGCAATTAACATGCTCAGACCCAAATTGCTAATTCTGTCATGTGTTTAATGGGCAGCAGCTAGGATC